GTTAATTGTGTAACGTAGAACTATTCGTGTTGTCCTTTGCTTTGCACTTTTGGGATTCGAAATTATATGATAGGTGAGACCCATAATCCGGCTGAGTGATAGCCCAGCTATAAACCGGAGAGCGGGGTACGTTACAATACACAAACGTGAACGCAGACATGTGAGCTCCGTAGCCAAATAAAGAGAATATAAACAGAGTTGCAGAAAATTGACACACTATGCATACAATATTTTTTGATACTTTGACTTTAAAAATGAAAAAAGTCTTTTATACTCTTTATACCAAATATAATACATATATTATATATTTTCATACAATACCTAACATAAAAATAAATAATCAAATTCTAAAATATAATGAAAGTATTTCACAGTAAAAGTAATTAATAATCAAATAAGTTCAGTTAATTAACTTAAATAAAATAAATAGTATTTCATTACAGTCTAAAAATTTTTATATATTAATATATGCACATTAGGTAAAAAAAAAGAATTTCTACATTTTAGAGTTTTTGCATTCTTCTTCTTGTGCCATAATAATAGATGCAAAAATCACTATCGCGACACACACTGAGATAAAATCGATCAACATGCAAACATTCGAGTATAAATCAGTGCTCAAAACAAATAAGGATAAATATAGAATAAATATAACAAGTAAGATATAATCGATGTTACTCGTTTGTGTACAAGTTGCAAGCCAACGGCATTCGAATGTTTCCAACATATACGATGTTTGCATTCAGTTGGCTATATCACTCCACACCCGAACTCATACCAAAGAATTTGAATAAAAAAAATCAGAGTGTTGATTCGAATTTGAGCGAAAATGATATACGCCTGGCAGCGTTCTGATGTGCATGCAAACATATATGTACATATGTCTGTGCGTATATTTATCTAACTAATAATATTTCAGATAATGGAGTTTGCAGATAAAAATGAATTAATGCAAGAAATATTAGAGTGGATTGACTCTGATGATAGTGAAAAGGATGATCTATGTAAAGATTTGTGTTGATGTTTAATCGAATGTAAATATTATATAAGATATAGATAAATAAAAGCTGTGCTCTCCTTTTTTATTTTAGAAATATTAAAAACTGCGAAGCAATAATAGAACAATAAAAAAAAACATGAAAGTAAGCTGTCTTACAAAATGAAAAACGAAACGAAACTTACTCACTTTTCATATCACATTCAGCCCTATTCGAAATGAAAACTTTCCGGGAGCTATCTTACTTTTCCATCTTCTCAGTGATTAAAAAAAATTTGCGTATATTTTGTTTTTTCCCTTTCTTCGTATTCTAAACAAACTTCGAAAATGGAAAAAATTCTCAGTGGAAAAATTTTGCATCACCAATTTAAAAAAATTCGGGTAATTTTCACATTCCACGAGAGTTTTTTTTACAAAGAAATTGTGTGGGAGTTTTTATAAAGCAATGTAAGTATTTTATAAATATAGTACATATAATCGTATTAATGGTTTCCCTATACATAAAACCGCGAGTAACATGCAACTGCAGTTGCCAGAAGGAGAAGGCGGCCGCGTTAGCCGAGTGGTTAGCATTGCGTTCTGCCATTCGGAAGACCCGGACTCAAAACCCGGTGCGATAAACATCCAAAAGTTATAGAATATTAATTTAAATAAAAAATTAAGCTAAATTTTTTAATTGCGGCTGCCACTCGGCAAAGAATGTCCACCCCTCTGAGTGTATTTCTGACATGATATAAATCTTCTCATAAAAAAACCATCAGCTTTTCGGAGGCGACTTCGTACAAACTGTTGTTCCATTTGTTGGGAAACACATCGAGACGCAAAACCACGAGTTGGAGGACGAGCACAGCCGAAAATAGATTCAGCGGTTACAAAGCGCCATTCATATATAATAAGGAAGAGTTCAATCAATTTTGGGTAAAGGTGCATAACGAATCAAATACCGCGGAACCGCCTATAAAAAATATTGTGGAATGACACCGCTTTCGCGATTTTATCCGAACTTAAAGCAGCGCGTCATTTCTTCCTTTTTCTCTCTGCCTGGCGCCAGCTGGAGTGGAGGTGCTTCCTCTTCCTCTGCTTCCACAGGCGGGTACTGCATCGAACAATCTCAGAGTATTCTTTTTCATCCGGATCACTTGACCTAGCCAGCTGTTTCATGATTCACTGAACTATGTCAATTTTGCCGTATACCTCATACAGCTCATCATTCCTTCGGCTGCGCTATTCGCCGCTACCAACTCGTAGAGGGCCGTAAAACTTACGCAAAACTTTTCCCATCGAAAACTGACGCCGACAAATCAGATGTTGTCATCGTCCATGCCTCCGCACCATATAGCAGGATGGGAACGGTAAGGGACTCGTATAGTTTGTTTGTCGTGCGTCGGGAGAGGACTTCACTTTTCAATTGGCCACTCAGTCCAAAGTAGCAAGAGTGATCCTGCTTTGAATTTCCGTACTGATATTGGTATTGGTGTTAATACTGGTTCTATGATAGACGAAGTAAACTACGTCTTCAAAGTTCTGACTGTAAACAGTGACATGTGAGCCGAGTCGGGAAAGCGATGACTGTTTGTGTGATGACCAGATATATTTCGTCTTGCCCTCGCTCACTACCGGACCCATATTCTTCGCTTTCTTATTTTGCCTGAAGAGAGAGCAGAACTCACGCGTCAACGGCGTACGCTAGCTGCTGTACACTCTTATAGAATAGTGTACCTTCTCTATTCAGCCCTGCAGCTCTTTTGATTATCTCCAGCATCACACGATAATCTTCCAGTCTGAAACCTCGTTTGGTATCGAACGTCAGTTTACAAATCCGTATAAGTTTTGCCGACATATCAACTCCAGACATAGCGGCGTATTGGCAGCTCCTTTTCGTGCTGGCGAAGGCTGCTTTATAAGCAACGAAGAGGTGGTGTGGATCCTCTTTGTTTGGTCCTTGCTGTCTATGACGGCTTTCATACGTTTGAGCATGGATTCCACATGTAGAACTGTACTCATGAGCGATATTGTTTCATTTTGTTTGTAAAGCTTTTTTTAAGCCGCCTTGATTTCAAATCTCTTAGTTTCGAATCTCTCGTCCAGAAACTGACCATAGTTTCAATCACATTCAAATCTGGAGACTGCGTTTGGGTTTGTATTATGTGCCAACTTTGAACAACACCCGGATATTTATCTTGATAGTACCGAATTTAATTTATTTAATTTAGAGGAACTTTGCTAAAGCTTCTTATAAAATGTCTAAATACACAGTATTATCCATAGCATAGTCCAAATTTGTAACTCCAGAAAACTGCATGTATCCTCATACCATTACATGCCCTCCACCATGTTTTACAGTGCTACGTAATTTTTGCGGTTGTAACGCAGCATTCGGTTTTCTCAATACATAGCTCTATTCATCTTATTTAAATAGGTTGAATTTACTTTCGTCCACAAAAATTACGCTGCCCCAGAAACTTGCATCTTTATATAAATGCTTTTTTGCAAACTTCAACCTGGCACTTTGATTTTTGGCATTGCCATATGGTTTATTTCGAGCTATGCGTCCATTGAAATTAACTTCTCTGAGGATTCTTCGTATGATTTCTGAGTTACAGCCTTTTCCAAGATATTTTAGCACTTCTTTACCTATAGCTGGGGCTTTTATGTAGGTGTTTTCGCGTATTCTCCATACAATCCGTCTGGAATCACTTTTAGTAAATTTTTTATTATGAGCCGTTTATTTAAAACACGATTTTCCCGAGCATAGCGTTTAATGATATGCTGAACAGTTGTTTGGCTCAATTTCACTATTTGCGCGATTTTACGCTAACTTTTACCACTTAGGATTAAGTAGCGCGCTAAAATATTTGTTTGGCGATTCATTTTACACTCGACCAATGCTAATACTGTAATGTCAAAATTATCTCATATTGCGCCAATTTTGCTTTCGTATATATCGGTATTCATTTTGCATTCAAAAATTGTCGGCAAGTCTCCGGAACTAATGGAAAATCTGTGTGCATCATTTTCGCTGTGAGGTTCAATTTAATACTGAAGTTTGTTTTTGTTAAAATAAACATTAAATATACAATATTTAAAGCATCAATGAAGTGTCTATATCTGCGGCTAATTAAGTGGTATTCATGTTTTTTGGAAAATTTATTTAATTTTTAAATAAAACTTAATATACTATTTTTTACATAGCTGCATCACTTTGGATGTGAGTCACTCTATATTCATATAATATATACGTGAGTGACTTTTATTTCGACTTGGCTCGGGAAAGGTACCTCGCACAATTAGTAGCAAAGCTCATTATATTTGTACATTGATATGTGATTTATATCTCAAGATTTTGGCGGCAAATGCTAAGTACTCAGGAGCGCGACCCAATTTTTTTTCCTTTGAGCGTTTTAAGAGCGTTTTAAGAGGGAAAACTGAAATATTTTGATTTGACAAGCTTTACAATGCTTTGCGTTTAATAATACTAATTTCTAACCGGAATTTATTTTTTTCTGTCATTTCTTCTGTTTTTGTCATTCTTGTTTGTGGTTTTCGCATATTTTGACGTTTTGCTAAGCTGTGGTGCCTATGCATTCCTGACACGTGTTGACTCAAATGATCGCAAGCAGAGATTTTAAAAATTCATGTCACTGGAAATTTTATCAAAATACTTATGAAATTACTTAAAGGCAGAAAAAAAATCGGCATAAATGAACGAATTCATTTTTATTAATCATTTGTAACTCTATCAGACTATATGAATAAATCAAATATATTACTCATTCAAAATAAAATAGTTTTTAATAAACTCGAAGTAGAACAGAAAAAAGTGCGAAACTAAGCTACTTTTCATTGGGCGCAAAGGGGGGATCACAGGAAAGACAACGTTGGGCTACATAAAGATAGAGAGAAATTCGAATACATATATAAGCATTACAAAGTTTTGGACAATATATATGTATATACATTATTATTTTATTATCAATTTCAGTGGAATAAAAGCTTAACTCACCGGTTTAAAATCTGCTGTATGCTTGTTATGTTGTTTTTGATTTGCCAAATCCATTTGATCTCCTTGCTCCTGATCGTTATGCTGATGTGTTTCAATTGTTTGTTCTAAGCATATATCACCGTTCTTTGACACGGTCGACGCATTCTCATTATGCAATTCATCGAGCGTCATGGTTTGCTATTGCGGAATACACATTAAAAAGTTTAAGGAACCGTAATATTCTGTAAAGCCTAAACGCATTAGTTCACTTTATACCTGGCGGTGCAAAAACTTTTCCACATTTCATTAAGTTGCAGATGCAAGTAAGTTTAGACTATTCACTTCAAATTATAGGCAAACACATAGTGTATTCAACATGATAACTGTTTTTCTCTTTTGTCTGAATGCGAAATTAGCAATAAAATTAATAAATAAATTAAACCAATTCAATTTTAATTTCATAAAACTGTTAAATAAAGCGTTAACTGCTTTGTGGGCATCTAATAAAGAAGTTAAAAAATGCTTTATGTTAACAAGTTTTGTGAAGAGTTTAGTTATTTGTTTGCAAGCTTACTTAATTATACCGATAAGGTAATTAAAAGCCATGAGTGAACTAAGGCCCATATTCCAATTGTTCAAGCCGCAAAAGGATCCCCTAGATTGCTTTTCGGGGAATATTGCGAGAGTGACAGTACTAGGCACGAAAACAAAACGTCACTGCTGACAGTCAAAACTTCGCGGTTGTGGCTAATTTACTCTATTTAGAGACCATCATCAACAACAATAATAATGACAGCCTTGAAATCCGGTGCAGAATAACTCTCGCCAACTGGTGCTACTTTGGACTAAGTAGGCAATTGAGAAGTAAGATCCTCTATCGGCGAAAACATACTCAACTCTATTAGTCGGTTCACAGTGGCTGCCTCCAGATCGAAAATCTCACAACTAGATCGATCATGATGTGATAGACGGACGACATTTGTAATTAACGTACGAATGCTCCGAAGAACGAACATCAGCTCGGATCACTATCTAGACGTAGCATGGATACGCACCCGCTTATGTGCAGCGAAGAAGTTTCGAGAGAAAAGTTTTGCCCTGCTGGCTAGGTTATGAACGGTAGAAACACTTTCAGGGTTACCCGCCGATAGATGCAGAGAAAGAACATGACATCAGCCAGATGTAACCCCTGCTCTGGCTGGTGCCATTTTCAGACGTGTTTTAGCCTGCGCACTTCCTGGGAGTGGAGTGACGCGTACGTTGCTCCCATGCTGCAGGAGTCTGTCTTCGTCTATATTTATAATATCGTCTCCAACCAACACCAACGTGCGGAACGCAATCCAGCGTCCATTAGAGCAGGGACACAATACACCCTCTTATCATTCTCTCAAGCTTCGTATTATGAACGTTTCCTCAAGAAAGACAAAACTGCTATAACTTCACAGCAACAAACAACAGAAAAATATCGACGAGATACTCGACTTTATGTGCGGAGAGCAACTGTTTCGCGACCTACGCTGATACTGGCAACGGATCGCTTGACAGGCCTCCCGGCATTCTCTCCGTGGACCGCCGTACGTTCAATAACTGTAAAAAATCTAGCTGGTTCGGTTTCGCGGTATTCAAAGGAAAGCCTAAAGTGTTCTCTCTACTCCAACTGACACACCCAGTGAACGTTCTTTCCGCAGGATTTTCCTAACCGCTGCAATCCGTTTCATCCCGGCAGACTGAATTACGGAAACCGCCGAATTTTCTCAACGGAAGAGGCAGTTCTAGAACCTTAGCACTGTTTCATTTGCCACGCCGATCTCATAAATCCCATCATCAGTGTCCCAATAAGGAGATTGGCATCAAGTCAACACTCATAACCGAAATAGGTGAGAGGTGTACTTAAAATCCAGAGACCTCTCTTCTGGGACAACAGTCAAATCGTTGTCAACGCCGATGAGACGAGATTACCATGTGGAAATTTCATTCGGTGACCCCGCTTCATCGAAACCGAAGAGATGCGATAGCTATTTGGCCGACTTTTTACACTGAGGCTCTGCTCGAGCAGGGCATACGTTGGGTATGCTGGGGTTGAGTCTGGATAGGTAAGAATTTAACGTGCTACAATATCCAGACCTTAGTTGGGCAAAGCTAGCACGGGTCTCTCGAGACAACTCGAGTTCGTTTTTTGCAATTGGTGGTAAGGTCAGGTAACTCTTTGTCGTGTGATATTTTTAATTCGATGCTGGAGAAAATTATAAGAGCAGCAGAGCTAAATAGAGAGGGTGCAATCTTTTACAAGTGTGTACAATTATTAGCGCATGCTGATTATATTGATATGACAGGCCATAACAACCGCGCGACAAAGTAAACTATCTCCTGCCATCGCATTTGCGACTTGGCTCCCACGTCACTGTTTACAGTCATAACTCCGAAGTCGTAGATAATTTGGTGTATCTAGGGACCAGCAGTAACACGAATAATAATGACAGCCTTGATATACATGGCAGAATCTCTCTTGCCATCAGGTGTTACTACACCAATGAGCTTAATGACCGAATTGTATAGAAGGATTATATGATCCAAGCATTTATTTTAACAGTTGAATTTATTTATTGTATCTGCTTCGACATTGAAAGTCTCACAAAAAATTCAAATTAAATATGTCAGCTCAAGCTAGAAATGGGCGCCTGAAAAAGTAAAACAGGGAATGGTTTAGTTACGCATGTACCATGGTACGCATGTTATTATCCTTAACATTTTCGATTGCAAACTTTGACATACCTCTATATTTGTTGCGAAAGTTATTGCGCATGAGTGAATCCGATACATCCATATTGGGTTTATTGTTATAAAGACGATTTTTGTTTTTCAAACTGAGTACAGATTTCTTGCTTGGTATCCAATGCAAACTGCGTACTAGACGCAATCAACCGTTCGATGATTTCTGCGAAGGTTAGATTTCCAATGAAAGAGCAAGCCATAACATGTTTTTGATAAACTTTGTAATGCATTGCTATTCATTTAATAAAAATAATTTCTATAACAATTTTATTTGTTTTTGTCATTCCTCTTTGTACTTTTCGCATATTTTGACGTTTTGTTAAGCTGTGGTGCCACATTTTCTACATTTTAATAAAATGGAAATGTGAGATGTCGATTATCGGAGAAACTGAGTTAGAGAATCGCATAATCGTTAGCGGAAGTTATAGAACTGCACTGCTGGTTCTTCTGGTATAAAGCTCGAATACCGCGGGATCTATTGGATTGTAATCAAACAAAAAGCATGCACACCGCTAACTTTAGCTGATATATATATATATAGGCTAAGGCATTGCTAATATAATTCTTTCAAGTATGTATACCGGTGGACGATTACCTAGCTACAATCCGCATTGAAGGTAGATTTTTTTACATATCTCTAACTAGCACACACACCCAAGCGGAATATAAAGACGATGTGTCCAAACAAACTCTCTATGTCCGATGTTAAATTTGTACTAGGCGACATTAACGCCAGGGTGGTAATATAAAGTATTTTTGGAACAACTCAGTTTCCATTACGAAACATCCCCAAAACGGCTGAGACTAATCGAATTTGCCTGTAGTACGAGAACACATACGTTTCTAGGTCAAATTAACGATTTGAACCACTATCTTATAGCATCAAAGATACGCATCCGCCTCTGTGTTTCAAATAACGAAGAGTATTATATTTCGAAAAGTTACAGCAAAAACACCTCGGCAAGGGCCTCTCCGAGATGTTCATAACGCAATCTTGCTTTCAGTCTAGAGACTAGATAAGGAAGCGACATAGATAAGTCTTTTAGTGAAAAAGGACAAGACAAAATATTTAGAAGTAAGACCTTTTATCTGCCAAAAGATACTGCAATGAACGCTCGCAAACCCACGCAAAGAAGTAGGCTCTAAATATTCGAGAGAAAAGTTTTGCCCTGCTGGCTAGGCCATGAACGGTAGAAACACATTCAGGGTTACCCGCCGATTGATGCAGAGAAAGAAGTATCTGGGGTTTGCACTTGGAACGTCCCATTGGCACCAAAGAGCTAATGGAAGATACTGTAAGCGGTGTATACGATACATGACATCAGCCAGATGCAGCCCCTGCTCTGGCTGGGGCCATTTTCAGACGTGTTTAAGCCCGCGCACTTCCCGGGAGTGGAGTGACGCGTACGTTGCCCCCATGTTGTAGGGGTCTGTCTTCGTCTATATCTTTAATATCGTCTCCAACCAACGCCAACGTGCGGAACGCAATCCAGCGTGCATTAGAGCAGTGACACAATACACCCACTTATCATTCTCTCAAGCTTCGTTTTACGAACGATTCCTCAGAAAAGACAAGACTGTAACTGCTATAACTTCACAACAACAGACAACAGAAAAAGATCGACGAGGTGCTCGACTTTATGTGCGGAGAGCAACTGTTTCGCGACCTATGCTGATACTGGCAACGGATCGCTTACCCATATTAATCTCGATTGACAGGCCTCCCGGCATTGTTTCCGTGGACCACCGCTGCAGTGCGTTTCATCCCGGCAGACTGAATTACGGAAACCGCCGAAATTTCTCAACGGAAGAGACAGTTCTAGCACCTTAGCACCATTCCATTTGCCACGCCGATCTCATAAATCCCATCATCAGTGTCCCAATAAGGAGATTGGCATCAAGTCAACACTCATAACCGAAATAGGTGAGAGGTGTACTTAAAATCCAGAGACCTCTCTTCTGGGACAACAGTCAAATCGTTGTCAACGCCGATGAGACGAGATTACCATGTGAAAATTTCATTCGGTGACCCCGCTTCATCGAAACCGAAGAGATGCGATAGCTATTTGGCCGACTTTTTACACTGAGGCTCTGCTCGAGCAGGGCATACGTTGGGTATGCTGGGGTTGAGTCTAGATAGGAAAGAATTTAACCTGCTACAATATCCAGACCTTAGTTGGGCAAAGCTAGCACGGGTCTCTCGAGACAACTCGAGTTCGTTTTTTGCAATTGGTGGTAAGGTCAGGTAACTCTTTGTCGTGTGATATTTTTAATTCGATGCTGGAGAAAATTATAAAAGCAGCAGAGCTAAATAGAGAGGGTGCAATCTTTTACAAGTGTGTACAACTATTAGCGCATGCTGATTATATTGATATCACAGGCCATAACAACCGCGCGACAAAGTAAAATATCTCCTGCCATCGCATTTGCGACTTGGCTCCCTCGTCACTGTTTACAGTCATAACTCCGAAGTCGTGGACAATTTCGTGTATCTAGGGACCAGGAGTAACACCAATAATAATGACAGCCTTGAAATACATGGCAGAATCTCTCTTGCCATCAGGTGTTACTACACCAATGAGCTTTATGACCGAATTGTATAGAAGGATTATATGATCCAAGCATTTA